ACATCATTTGGTTTCACAGCTTGTGGAAGAAACACACGTTCTTCCATTTCACTGCCCAGTCCCCAGTCATTATTATATATACAAGAAACCCCCCCTGCTCATCACACCTTCTTCACAGCCTGGATTAGGAGAGCTCCTTTCATCACACTGCGAATGACAACGCGGTGTTATTTTGCTTTCCTGAAAGCTATTAATCCATTAATCTGAGATACTTAGAGGCATTAAAAATAGAAAAGCAGCTTGGTTCTCTTCCAAATTTGCTGCAAACTTTGGCTTTTTAAACCTCACACCCTCAGCCCATGGCTGTCCTGGGAGCATGGTGGCAACATTGGAGTTACCGTATGGTGCAGCAGTCTATGTGACAAGGGTGAACTTTGCATATGCACCATGCACTGCACCTCATGTGTGACACTGTCACCCGGGGATGAGACCAGCTATGTCACTAGCAGCATGTTCCCACAGGTATAATTGCACCTCCACCTTCTCACACCCCTGAGCAGTGTCTCTGCCAGCAGACACTGGGGTGGTGCACCCACCAAAACCCCTGATGCACTTCAAAATGTCCAGGAGAAGTAGAGGATGGGCCTAAAAGCCCATGGTGGTCGGGAAAAATACACATCTAAAGGACTTGGATAGGGTGAAGGGACAATCGAGATGGCTCGGTGCAGCTGCATCCAGGTGGGAAGGGCGAGGGCAGGCTGGGGCTTGGTGGTTCTCCTCCTTCCCACCATTTCCATGAAATAGGGCTCAGCCTTGGCTGAGGATGATGCCAAACAGCTGATGTTTCTTCTCCCTCCTAGAGATGGGGACAGGAGGAGAAAGTCTTTTCCCGGATCCTCTCTGATGGTGCCTAAGCCACCTCTCAAGCAGGACCTCCCAGCAGTTTAGGGGACACCAGAGTTCAGAGTTGGAATTTTACAGGTTTAACCTAGGGCATGGTGAGGCATAAACCCAGCTCTCACCTGGACTTACATCTGATGCAAAAATTGATCATTTGTTCCCGGGTCACGGACCTTCCTCTGGCATGGCTTAATGACATGAGATTTTTTTTTGTGTTTATCAGCTTTTTCAAGGCAATGGTGGATTCTTGTTTGTTTGCCTGAAGTCAATAGGCACAGTCCATTTCGCAGAGATCATAAGACCTCAATCCAAACACCAGCAACAAGTCTTTGCACCTATCTGTTTTTTTTTTTTTTAACAACTATTTCCAGAGACTGTTCTTACCCTTAAAAATGACCCAAACAGGAAAAGGATTGAGGGTTATTTTTACAGAGGATGGAGAGCCCCACAGCAATCCCATTTCATGAATAAACTCTATAACCTGTTTCCCAACACAGCGCGTCAGGAGCACATATTGTCCAGTAAATCCAGATTTCAAGGCTATGTCAGGATACGCAAAAGGGAGCCCTAGAAAAACAATCACTGCTGTGACAAGATCCTGCATGCAAAACCACCTGTTTAATCACACAGTCTTTCAACGTGGCTGAATCAAGCAAGGTAGGACCTGACATAGTTGTTTAACTATGTCATGAACTTGCCTGTCCATGTCAAACTACAGCAGACCCTGTTTATTACAAAATAATGTGCAAATGAACTGTCTCTGAGGGTCAGAGCAAAGGCCAGGCAAAGGTGAAATGTGGTACAAATGCTGCTGAGATAAGTCAGATGATGACACTGGGAACGTCTCGTATCGCTGCAGGGGCTGGGTCCCACCGATCGGTCAGCCCAGCATCAATCACTGCAACATCCTCACAGACAGGAGGCATCTGATGTGCTAAATATTTATAACACCCGTTATTTGTACCCAGTGCAGTCAGTAAACTCCCTTTTGAAGATGGCGGCTCTGCCAAGGGGAAGGGAATTGCTCATTCTAGGGTTCTGACTGAAGCCCTAAAGATGCTGTTACACATCTGTGCAAACCCTATAGCCTCCTGCCCCTAACAAACACCATCCAAACAGCCCAGTTCTCTCTGCCATCCTAATCTTCTCTTAGCACATCCATTCCTCTAGGATTCTCCCACTTTTCTGCACCATCCTTACAGCAGAACCATTTCCAAATTCGTGTTTTCCCTTTGCTCGTGTCTTTTTCCCAACTGCTGCAGAAGGGCGAGTGCTGGTTTCATTCATGAGCTGTGAGCTGGTGTTTTGGAAATGGTGGCACATGAGCTGCTTACAGTTGTGGAATGACAGGATTTCTCTTACAAAATGCCTGTCCACAAGCCACCCAACAAGGTGGGTTTCTAAAGCCTTTAAAGGGGACAAATCCCTGCCTTTGTCAGAACCTGCTTCTGACCCACCACAGGCAGAAGCAGGCAGCGGATGCTCTTCACAACACATACAGAAAGAAAGATATTTTAAACCAAATCTTGAATTCTGCCAAAATTAATTCAGCTGACAGAGAAGATCTTGTCATACAGTATATGAATAACCTTT